ATATATGTAATAGAGGTGGGAACATTTTAAATTGTAAACTATTGACATAGGTCAGTGAAGCATATGTGCTGAGACAGCGATAAGATTACTATATAACACCGCCGCACGCGCAGGCACGAGGAGGAGTCCCGTTGTCGCTGAGTGAATCGGCGAGGACGTAGGTACTGTGGTCGTACGTGTGAAACGTCGATCGTAGTACAGGCTAGGCAATCCGGATTTGCTAAGTTTTTCATTTATGTTTGTTTTAATATAATAAAAGTGTTTCCGACCTAAAAACCCGAGTTGAGTTTTATTTCAAAGTCTTCTTCGTTCTTACCTTTAATATTGGAACAGTGCTCAGACCCACACACCTATAGTCAATGAGGTTTATTACAAACTGAACAGTGCTCTGGTTGTGGCGTCCTAATAGTCATTCCAATTTAGGAAACGAACGAAGAACTGACAAAACGCTACCATCGTACCTCAAAGGTTAACAGTGCTAATCTGAATTTATTCTAGAGACAGTCATTAGCCTAGAGCGTACGAGGGTAAGGTATAAAGTTGGTTTACCGCGTATTATCCAATACGGGTGATACCACAGAGTGGCGCCCAATGGGGTTACTTATCCACGGTCGGAGACATTTTTTTGATTTTTTTGTGCCCTGGTACCTCAACCTTGGCAAGTTTAATTTTTTTGAAAGTGTTTACGTACGAGAAGTACAACAGTTTTTACGTGTAGTCTGGGAGAGATTCCCTTGACACACCATTTTTTTTTTGGTACTAGTGAAGTACAACAATTGTGCACGTTTCGGATAGTAAAACCCGGAGCGAGTTTAGTGATTTTTTCCGTTAAAGTAAAATATACCTTTTGTGTTTTGGGTGCAGTGTAAACCCAGAACGCAATTTTTGTGCGTGTGTATACCGAGTGAGTAACACATACGCGTTCGATTTTCGTCTGACCGACAAGACAGCAGTTATGTGCCGCGTGGTACAATTTTTGCAACCGTGCGTCTACAAGTATACGCCAAGGTGAGCAACGTTTTGTAATATACTTAATACTTATTTTAGGATTATAGATTAGATTTTTCTTAAAACAATTTAAATAGAATTTTAGTTCAATAATTTTTCAAAATTTTTTTTTCGATTTTAAATAACCGCAAAATTTTAATTTAAGTTTTTAACAAGTAGATTAAGTTTTTAAAGAAACTATTTAAATAGGATATTTTTTTTTTAGTTCAATTTTTTCTCTCTATTTCTCTCTTTTACTTTTCAAAATTTTTATTCGATATAATTATAACCGCAAAAATATTTTAATTTAAGTGATATACTTACATATTAATATTAGGATTGTATATTAGATTTTTTTTAAATTTAAATAGGATTTTTTTTTTATTCAATAACATAGTATTATAATTAATCTAGTAGTATTTTTTTTTTTTTGTCAAACTTCTTAATAATTTAAATTTGTAGGGATTTTACCAATAGTAAAAAGTAGGTTAATTGTAGATAAACATAATTAAAAACCGTTAAAATGTCCTAGTATAGATTTAGGATTATTTAAATTAATTTTTCAAATTTTATAAATTAATGAATCAACTTAAAGACCCTAAATCGGATCTTTCTATAACAATAAATACTGCAACAGAAATCTATACTCTCAAAAAACCATTTCTTATTAAATATTGCGAAAATAAAAAATTAAAATCAACAGATACAACTGGTGAATTAAGAGCTAGACTTAGTAGATTCTTAAAAGGTACCATAACATTAGACGACATAGATAACACATTAAGCAAAGAAGAATGCGATTTAATTTTAATCAAAGCAAAAACTAATAAAATCGATTTTCAAAAATTAGAAAAAGAAGCAGGAATATTCGATTCGAGCGATTCGAGCACTGACACAAATACAAATAATAAATTAACTTCAGACAGCTTTTCAGAAATATCAAAAGATAATTTAAAATTATACGATAATCTTAATGCCAGTACCAGCTCATTTGTGAATAACACCAAAAATATTCTAGAAAATTCTGATATAACTTACCAAAATTGTCAAAAAGAAAGTTCTGATACTTATGAAAATATATTAAAAAATCTTAAGATTAATGATACTTCTAATAATATTTATGAGGAATTAAAATTAAATACTCAACCAGAAAATAGTGAGATTATTGAAAATAAATTAATAAATCTTAATAATTCAACAACTATTGATTCTAATAACACAAGGGAAAAACCAAAATTCAAAAACGAAAACACAGCAATAAATAATCAAAAAGGAGATAACCTAAACTCTGAAATTCATTCTACTCCATTAAATAAACAAACACAGAAAATGACAGAAAAAATTCTAATGATTAGACCAGACCAGTTCTCAGGTAATGAGGACGTAAGAAAATATTTCAAGCAATACGAAAAAGCAACAGATGTAAACGGTTGGAAGGACGAAGATAAAGTAAGATTTTTATCGATATTCGTAAAAGGTACAGCAAGTATATTTTTGGAAAATTTGGAAGACAAACAAAATAATTGGACATGGAATAATTTGAAACAGGAGTTTCTCGACGAATTTCAAACAATGGGTTACAATACAATTTTAAAAACTAGATTAGAAAATAGACGTCAAGGAGATACAGAGTCTATAATGAGTTTTGTAACAGAAATAGAAAATATATGTAGACAACTAAATAAAAATATGCAGGAAGAAGAAATTTGCACTTATATTTTAAAGGGATTAAAAGAGACAGTCTTACATGCGATTTCATTACACGACAATAGCAACCTAAAGGAACTAAAGAAAAATTAAAAAAAATTTGAATTGATGCAATTTCGAATTAATAACAGAGGACCAGAATTAAGTGATTATACAGAAATGCTTAATGAACATGTATCTCAACTAAACCAAAAAACAAAAGAAAAAGGAAGAGAAATCGATGAACTAAAAAGACAGTTAATAGAAAGAGATAGAGAATACAAAAAGGAGATGAACCAGTTACGGGAAAATATTCAACAAATCAACATTACAGGAAGAAGAAATAAATCGGTAAACTTCGATGATGAAGAAATAGATAATCGATATAATAATAAAAATTATAATTATAATGAAGATAAGAGCAGAAGTTATAATAGAGAAACAAATTACCGAGGACGACAACGTGAATACAGAGACCAAAGTCCATATTCAGGAAGAACAGATCACGAAGGCAGGAACAATTATAGGGAAAAAAGTCCTTATTCCGATAGGTACAACAACTATAAGCTCAGAGAAAGCAGTAGAGATAGATACAATAACAATAAATATAGAAATAACAGTAGAGAAATGAGCAATAATAGAGATAGGTCTAACTCAAGAAATAGGGAAAACTCCTACGACAGATCCAGAGATAGAGATAGTTATAAGAACAGAAATCGTGAAAATGACATAAGTAGGAAACAGCACAGTAGGGAAAACAGCAGAGAAAGATATTCAAGATCCACGACGCCGGAAGGATTTAACAGAAGAGAAAAAATAACATGCTACAAATGCAATAATAAAGGACACTATGCTAGCGATTGCAATTTTTCAAAAAACGAATAGCACCCGAGCAAAGAGAAAAATCGGAATATCTTACTCGGGGAACAAATAATATTTATACAAAAGCCGACAACTCAAAATTTAACAAAGAAAAGCAGACTGAGAAAAATAATTATATAGATTTTGTAGAAAATTGGTACAAATCAACAAATTCAAATAAATTAATAACTAATGAAATAAACGACGATGACGAAAAATCTATAGAAAACATCGTAACAATAAGTAGTTTGAACCCACTAAATGAATTCCAAAAATTCCTACTCAGCAATAACGATAGAACCGATTTCCTATGCGATTACAGTGAACAGACGGTAAATATTTTTTCATTACCAAATGATATCGCAATCGGCCATTGCACAAGCCAATGCCTCACCATGTCGAAGGGGATCGCATTACAATTTAGAAATAAATTTAACAACGTTCAAAATTTAATAGACCAAGAAAAAAAACCGACCGAAATTGCTTATTTGAAAAACGGAAGACAATGGATTCTATACCTCATAACAAAAAATAAATATTAAGACAAACCAGCATACACTAACATTTTTAACACATTAACTAATACTAGGCAATTTTGTATAGAAAATAATATTACTACCTTAGCATTACCCAAAATTTGCACTGGACAAGACAAAAAGGATTGGAACGTTATTTCTACCATGATCAAGTTTATTTTTCAAAAAACGCAAATAAAAATTTTAATATGCCTACTGCCGAGCAACGACAATGAAAATAAATATTATAAAAACAATGATTCCCAAAATACTAATATTACGATAGGTAAAAATTTTAATAACACGATCAGTGATAGTTTAAAGAACGAAATCGCACTAATAGCTGGCTCATTCATAAAAACGAAAGACGTACCCGGAGACGGTGATTGTGGTGCCCACGCACTACGAATATGCTTGAAACAACATGGTATATATAGAAAGACGGTAGAATTATTAAATATGCTCGGCATTCCTAATTGCAAATCTGGCTACTATTTTAAAAATGACGATCTAGCATTTATTTGTGACCAATTTAATTTAAATTTATATTTAATACACGAAGATTCCGAACATACAAATGCCATAATATACTGGAAATCAAAGAGGAAAAGTATAGGGATATTCGAAAAAGATTATAATTGGACACCAGGAATTATCACAAAAATATATAAACCACTTCAATTCAATAAAATAATAATAAACACAGTTTTTCCCGACTTTAATACTGTAGAAAAAAATGTAGACCATTTCTTATACGAATGTTTCGATCGCTTAAAATTATCATAACAAAACACAATAGAAAAAAATAAAACCGGCAACTATTTTAAAACTGACAAATCAACAATATGGTACTCACAATTTTGCCAAGACTGCGAATATTTGTCCACAACCAAGGATGTACTAGACGACCATGATGACAAAGAAGAGTATTGGAGTGAGGGGGGAAACGTTATGTTTTGTGAAATATGCGGAAACTACATAAGAGAATATCGGAATCGGCCCATACAAGAAGACGAGAAAGCCATAGAAACCAAAAACCAGCTAATTCAAAACAAAAACGAAATTAAAATCAAAAATCAAAATACAAGCGTAGATTCAGACACAGGCCGGAAACAAAGAGTGCTATCCATACAAATAAAACTAGACGGCAACGAACAAAATGCAATAATAGACACAGGCTCAAATCTATCATGTATAGATTATTCCCTAGTAAAAAATAAACAAGAAATTAAACCCGAGAACAAACACCAACAACGAAGACATAAGAAAGTTACCGAAAACATTGATAAAAATCCAGGAGGGCTTCGAGAATCTTATAAATGTTATCAAGTCCATTGAATAATTTTTCTAAATATTACCTTAAACAAAATTAATGTAATTGTAAAAATTAAAATTTATCAAAACAATATAATAATAAACCCCCTTTTAGGAAAATATAAATATAATTAACTAATAATATGTAATTAAACACAGTAATAAATATAGTAAATAAATTAAGTATATGTCATGTATAAGTTCAATTAACTCTTTACCTATATATATATATATATGAATTAATAACACAATTACATTTAAGGGAAAATAATAAAATATTAAAAACATGTAAAAAAAAAAAGATATAAAAAAACAAAAGAATAGAATGTATTTTCAGCATAATCAAAAATTAACGAATCAACAGACAACAAGCCGCGACAATCTTCTGAGACAAAGTGCGAATATAATATTTTCAAAGTAGACAATAAGCATTAAACCAATAATTATAAAAACAATAAGCAAATACCTTTTCATACGAAGACACGAGGAAGAGACTGCAGTCAAAACAGAAGTTTGGAAAAATAATATACGAGAATATAATATATAAATAAAAAGAAAAAAAAATATATACAGATTATAAGAAGAAAAACTAAAACAAGCAAGATAATAAACACTTACCTTACAAATACAAAGGAGAAGAAGAATTAACTACCACAGAATCAAAAAAAAAAAAAAAACAAAAATCCCGTAGAAGAACAACAATCATTTACTGCTATTTGTCGAAATAAAAATATTATACTTCAAACTGAGAAAAATCTCTAAGAAAACATTTTCCACAAAGAGCCAATCAATAAATTTTTATAACCTTATATGTATTCACATAAATTTTTGTATCTATATTCTGAGTAAAAATGTCATACATTATAATACAGTATAAAATATAACTCAATTTATATTTATGTTATAAAAAAATTATTAATCATTAATATGTATTTATGAATTATATGTTTCTAATTGTTTCTAGATCCTCACATAATATTGCCACAGGTAGAGATTTTTTTTTTGTATTAATATACCGAGTTAATTTTATACAGTATAAAATAATTACGGCGGTTGAAATATCGATTTATCTGTTTTAGATTTAAATTGTTGTAATTAGTGTTAATTATTTTGTATGTTTAATTCGTGAATTGTGGCTATTGTCATTCCTTTTGGAATATTACTATATACGTTGGAATAATTGTATAAGATTACTTCGTTAGAATAGTCTACTATCTGGGTTTCTAGCATTAAATGTTTTTCGCTGTATAAGCGGTCTGTAGGATTTATTTTATACTGTGTTAGTATATCATTGCTTGTGATATATATTTTTAATTTTGACTTCGAGTTTTTTGCAATAGTAATATTGTCATTAGATTTTATTTTTATGTATTCGGGTTGCACTTGTGATGCTTTCAGTTGTATAAATGTTTAAATTATTATTTTCATTATGTTTGTAATATATATATTTTTTTTCTTCTTCTCTCTCCCCTAACAACGCGTTAAAAAATAAATTATTAAAATAATAGGATTAAAATTAACATTTAAGCATAATTTTATAGTCAACGACGCGAATAAGCCGAGACAGTAATATAGTGTAAAAGTAGATTAGTATTTAATGTCCCTAACAACAATATTACCTTCCTGGGAGGGTAATAGGAATGCCCGTTAGGATTTAGCGTCCATACATGGGAACTACCTGTTTTGTTCCTGGACTGGTCTAGGAAGGACTACGGCATGACATAGGCGTGCCTGATGCACATTTTAAGACCATCCCGTACACTGCCTATTAGGATCAAAATTGGCACTTCCAATTAAATTTCATATTGCTTCCTGAAAAGGTCGACTAACATCCTATTTTGGTCTTGCTTCATCCCGAATTAGTTTATAAAACTAACCTAATATGTTCCTATTGCTGCCCAAAATGGTCAATTATCAAATTAATTTTGTCCTATATTGTACCTACATCATTAGAATTGTGTTCCATGGTTATAAACATCATGATGTTTTTAAATTTAATTTATAAAATGAAATTATAATAATACTAATACTAATAACGCTTTAATTAACTGTCTAAGGTTAATAATAGGTAAAATAAATAAAAAATGGCATAATTTAGTTCTCAAATTATAATTATTAATACTTATTAAATTGATAACATATTATATAAATGTTACATTACAAAATTACTTAAATTAAGTACTTATTACTTTAATTACTTTTTATATAATCAATAAAAAAAATTTAACCATTTAATATTAATGTTAATGTTAATCTTGAAGTAATTGGGGGGAATCTTCATCTGCAGAATCTGAGTGATTATACTTTTGTATTCGCCGTTCATATCTGTCTCCAGCATGTTTAAACCATCCTGTGATTGCTTTATTAATTAAAAGAGTTGTTGCTCCAGGAATTTGTTTTATTATCACACCTACAAAAATACCACATAAATTACTTTCATGAATACAATTGTACGGCCATAGTAAACAATTTGGATATTTTATATAATTCCCCCGTCCCGATATAACTTTCCAAGCAAAAAAAAAGGATTTCTGAAACTCAAATGCTATGCATTTCATATTATATAATTTATATTTAAGTAGAATTATAATCATTAAAAAAAATCAAACCAGTACGTAATTTATATTTTTAACTATTATTAAGGGTCTTTCACGCCATTTTACTGTACGTAGTGTTTTAATACCACAAACAAAAGCATAATTTATATCCAACTTTTCGGGTCAAGGCTACAACCTGATACAAAAATTAAAATTGCAGAAGTGCAAATTCGAAGCAGCAAAAAGGGTACATCAATATACTATGAAATTCACTTTTACACATACATTGGAAAATGTTTGAATTTTGAATGCCTGCAGATTGTATATGAGACTTTTCGGATAATGAGGTATGCATGTCTAAACTATTCAACGGATTCCATATTATATTGTTTATATTTAACTACAAATATTATTATTTAGATATAGGTAAATAATATAATATGAAATCCATTGCATATCTAAGACATACATACCTCATTATCCAAATAGTCCAATATGCTACCAGGCGTCCAGGCATTCACAATTCAAACATTTTCTATTCGGGCCGTAACATATACATCAATTTAAAATAACTAAAGAAAGTTTGACCATGTTAAAAATATCTATTATAGTACATTTATTTGTGATTGATGAATAAATACCTAAATAGAAAATTATTTGTATTTAGTTATCATTCTTAGTATTGACTTAATTTGTTGTTCAATACAAGGATAAATAAAAAAACAACAAATATAAAATAACGTTATACCTTATTATTATTTAAGCGTATAATTTATATGGTCATGGGGTGACGGGGATAGGGGTAGTATTGACATTTTAGACCCAACTCCTAAGTAGGTAATCTATTTTAATTAACCCAATATAAATATTGTCAACTAACTTGTCATTATTTTATAAATTTGTAGATTTTTAAAAGCTATTTTAGCAGATGTATTACTAGCACCACGGCCTGTTAAGGAAATACTCCGTCCAAAATTATTTGTTAAAATTAAATCCAACATGGATTTTATCGATTGAGCAACATCAATTTGAGCATATATTTTTAAGTTTCTTCTCTGAAATAAAAAAAATAATTTAAAAATGGCAAGAATGACTATTGGTATTAAAAAAATACAAAATATCTAGTTAAAAACTCTTTGTCATCAGATAATTTTTGGTTGAAAACCATTAAATCGTGTGGTGTGTTTATAGGGCAGCACTCAATCAAATTTGAATCAGCTATTAAGCTATCATCCAGAGAACCTCCTTTATTTTTTAGAATTGTTTCTATGTTTCTTTGATTCATCAAAATTCTATTTAATTTTAAATTTATCTCTGGAAGAGTTGAAGCTACATAAGTCATAAGTTTTTGAACATTCACTAAAAAAAAATATTTATTTTTATTATACAATTCATATCTTAATAATCTGCTTTAAATATGAAAACACTGCAGGCAGTTTCACTTTCAAAAATACTATAAAATAAACATTTTTTATGATTTTTCCTATTTTATTTTGATTAAATTATATTATTAGAAAAGTGTATACAGTGTAAATTTATAATCTACTTAAATTAAAAAAATCATTAGAATCATACAAACTCAACAATTTTGAAACAGATACTGCTATAATTAGAAAAATAATATAAAAATAAATTCAGTAACAATCTTGCATCAATCATAATCTACTAAACTTTAGTTGTTAGTATTGCATGAGGTAAAAATATGAATGATCAATGTTAGTGTTAAATTGATCATATGTGCAATTTGTATGAATGGTAACATAATATGTCTATAAAAAATGTCTATATCGTACACAGAACATTTTTAAAATGCAATTTAATTAATTAATAAATTAGAAATAGAATATTTATAGATTTCCAACTATCATTTATCTTACTTTCATCTTTCTTATTTGAATTTATTGGTGGAGGAGAAATAAATGGTCGCTTATTAAAAGATGATGGCGGTGAGTTTACAAACTTCAATTTGTGTGTTTCTTCATTTATTTTATTTAAACTTATCGGCGTTGAAGTAATTTTTGAAGGAGATAAAAACATGTTTTGAGGACTAAGCAAAACATCATCATACATATTTCCTAAAATAAAATATTGTAACAAGCCATTATAATTATAACTATTTTAAAACACATTTTTAATTGTTTTACGTATACATGAAAAAATGTAACAATTTTTTTCTAATTTCGTAACGTACTGTTCAAGCTTTCTGTTGTTTTTGATGGAATAGGTGATGGTTGACTTTTGTATTTTCCATCATTATTTTTTTCATCTTTAAATTGTTCCTGCAGTTCAGTCTTCTTTTGATTTTTAATTAAACGTTTGATTGAGTCTTTTGATTGTTTATGGATGTGTTTGTTTACAGATCCGGATAGCAATTCTAGGTAATGAGAACAAATGTAATTTATCAAATAGTCATATTAGTTGATAGGAGTAATTCTTAATTTACTCAATATCAACATTGCATAAGTATTTTACTTTTAGACCGTGTTT